AACTCTTTTGTGCTTGTAAATGTTTCCCGAAATATTCTGCTGGCATACATCGCACTAAACCATTTTGCGTTTCCTGTTTAAATTATAAAATAATTGTTGATATAAAGAATGTAAAACTGAGAGTAAAGAGCGATTGAGGTTAGAATATCACGAAAATGTGCATATGATTCTAAACGTTCTAAACTCATTTATTGGTTTTTTTCTCTCTGCTTTACATTTCTTGTTACTGTAAAATCACTTTTCAAAAATTTATGAAATCGTATTCAATCTAAACACAATAAAATCACAAAATAACTTACAGTTTGCACACAAAAATTTAATTTTTTTCAACTAATAGGAACTATCGCAAAATTGCGTTATGAAAATAATGTGTTTACGGTTTTGACAGATTATTAATGTCGACGTATACGTAACCACAGCTGTCATAATATATACGTAACTTCGTATTTTCACATTGTGGAGAATTTTTTCTGTTTCATTAATAATGAATCATTATTTTCTGTAATAAATAGAAATTTATTTATTTATAATTCTAATAGAATGAATTTGAAAAAATAAATAGAATCATTTATATGAAATAAAAATAATTCTAATTTGAAATAATACGATTTTGTTAGGTTCCCATAGAATGGTGTGAGTATTTATAATTTAGTTGTATTATTTTATATGCTTTATGTGTGTGTACAATGATTTTTAATTGATTTAATTTCAATTTGATTTACTTGAATGATTTTTAATACAATTTTTGTGTTGAAACTATAACATTCAAATACATTCCAAATTATTGAAATAAATTTGATTTTTGCATCTAATTCACACTAAAATCAGATGGCGCTCATTAGCGAGATTCGCAAAAAAAAGTCTCCAATCTCATATACGTCAACCCCCCTTGGGTGTAGTTCAATATATCCACTCGATTGTATTTTCCGGGTTGTTTATCAAAACCACATTTTATAAATTCATTACCAGTCAAATGAGCGTAGATATTTTTGAATGCTGCCTTACCCTCTTCTACGCTTGAGTGGCGCGTCTGCTTCTTTGATCCAGATGAAATGTCATTTATTCGTCCCTTCGTTTCGATCATAGTTTGTCCGATTAATTCTAATTTCAGAAACGAATTCTTATTTATATCGATGTCAATGAAGTTCAGCATTGTTTCGTATCGGATATTATTTTCACAGTAGACATTATAATTTGGCACGGAAATTTCATTTGTATTGTATGTTTCGTATTGTCTTAATGTTTTGAAGGCGTCTTTTTGTTCTGGCATCCGTTCAAATGGCTGAATTAAGAAGTAAATTTAAATTCATGAAACAAACAATAATTTTGTTGAACGAAAAAGCAGTAGACAAAGTTTAGTCTGTAGACTGTGTATCCGTAAAAATTTTAAACAAACGTACATCTCTGCCAAATTTACTCAAATCATTTCCGATGATCAATTCAATTGGATCATTTTCTAGGAAGCTGTCCACCAATTCATCAGATATTATTTGGATGCGATGTAAGAAGGCTGGATGAATGTCTTCTCCACCTTTGTCCACAACATCAGCATTTGAAATGACTGCAGCCAGACGTGAATGTATTTCAGATGCTAGTCGACCGCCCATCATACGAATCTTGTGTTCGATAACCTTTCTCGGTTGTTTCGTATCGCCAACAATGAAAAATTCAATATTACACAATGGCTGATTCGTAATTGCTCTACAATCGGAGAAATTCAAAAAACTTAAATTTATAAACGGTTTTCGGATTGATTGTTTCAAACAACAGCGAGAAGATATGGATCGATTTATTCAATGAATAAATCAATATATTCATATCTTTTTGTGGTTGTAGACAAAACAACAATAACATTTTAATGAAAAAATTTCAATGGAAAATTCAAAATAATACATACTCAATATCTTCATCCTTTAATGCCTCATAATTTCGTAGAATACGAAACGAGTTTGTGCTTTTCTTAATGCCTTCCAAATGAATTCTTGTACTGGTTGGCTCGAATGGTTGGCGATGCGGTCGTTTTGTTTCATACAAGCATTTTGTCCATGGCGTATCGTAGCCGGTACAACGGTATGTGGAATTAGAGAAAATTAATTTGCCATTTTCGCATCTAGGACAAGGTGACAAAACACCAAAACAAATCATATCGCAGATGTGATTCAATTTCTGTGGAAAGTTTATAACAAATAAAAAAAAATGTTCGAAGAATCAAAAATTATTTGCATACGTTAATGTTGTTGTCCGGTACAAATTGGTTTGTATCCTCCAAAATACGATCGAATTCACGGCCTGTTTTCTCCATCAACTTTTCATAAATGTCAAAGAATAAATTGTTTTGTTTTTCCATGTCTCTTTCAAATTCAATGTTTATGGCGGCTTGGTCATTATTGTCTCCTAAATTAAATTGGGAATGGTTTTTTTTTCTTTTAAATGGTATTATGATCAGTAACAACAAAAAAGAGAAAAACAAAAACAATTACCCAAAATATTTCTGATTTCTCGTTGATGTTCATATTTTAAATTGTCGAAACCGTCGATGTAGTCCTCTTTCAATGGTTGCCGAATTGAAAAAAAACACCCGGAATCAAACCAAATCGCTTTGTAATCGTCACATTGCATAACCTCAAAATATAATACATACACATTTGTCATTTTAAAAAAATAATTTATATTAAATTTATATATAATTACCATCAAACCAAAACATATTTTGTCTCGAGTAACATATTTGCCGCATTTTGCACACTTTTGTTCAATACTTAATCTGGAATATTCGGCTTTGAATGGTAACGGCAACATTTTTTTTTTCTTTTTTCTTCTCAGTCAAACAACGAATGGCACCAATGTATGTATACACAATGTAAACTGTCAAACTTATATCTGAATTGCCTGAAGTTTGCCGCACATGGTTTTTTTTTTCTCAATCAATGTGAGTTATAACGACATCTGGTGGCATCATCGATATTATTTGAGAAAGAAAAGAAACAACCGTAAAAGATATGGATCGATTTATTCAATAAATAAATCAATATATTCATATCTTTTTGCGGTTGTAGATAAAAACAACAATAACAACAATTATTTTAACACCATTTTTTATTCTTTCTCTTCTGGATGAAAATATTTAGATTAATTGATTTTAACCATACTGAATGTTGTTGGTGGTTATTTGTTTCTTCAATAACAAGTATCGTTATACATTTATATGAAGTACATTTTGAAATTGACTGAAATGATGCTTAAAAAAAATTGGGGTACGGTTTTTTTCGTTTGGATTTAATAGCTGTATAGTTAATGAATAAAATAGGATGGGTGCGATAATGGAAGGACATTTTGAAATTGATAGAAAATACGCTAAAAAAAAATTGGGGTACGGTTTTTTTCGTTTGGATTTAATAGCTGTATAGTTAATGAATAAAATAGGATGGGTGCGATAATGGAAGGACATTTTGAAATTGATAGAAAATACGCTTAAAAAAAATTGGGGTACGGTTTTTTTCGTTTGAATTTGATAGCTGTAGAGATAATGAATGAAATAGGATGGGTGTGATAATGGAAGGACATTTTGAAATCATTTTTAATGTTACTCTGTTTATCATTTTATATATATTTTGGTACACAAATTCAATTTTTCATTTTTTCATTTTAAAAAAAATCAAATAATATGCCACCTAGAGTTCAATTGATATTTAGACAACTTCACACTGAACCACATTCAATAAACACTTGTTGCTCGAAATTAAAAAAAAATTGTTTGGTGTATCAAAAATTATTTATATATGTTAATGTTGTTGTCCGGTATAAATTGTTTTGTATCCTCCAAAATGCAATCGAATCCACGGCCTTTTTTCTTTTTCAATTTTTCATAAATGGCAAAGAATGAATTGTTTTATTTTTCAATTTCTCTCTCTCTCTCTCTCTAATGCAATGATTATAGCAGCTTGTTTATTATTGTGTCCAAAATTGAGAATGGTTTTTTTTTTGTTTTAAATCGTATTATGATCGGCAACAGTAAAAAAGAGAAAAACAAAAACAATTACCCAAAATATTTCTGATTTCTCGTTGATGTTCATATCTTAAATTCAAATAATATGCCATGTAGAGTTCAATTGATAATTAGACAACTTCACACTGAACCGCATTCAATAAACACTTGTTGCTTGCATTGTGTTCCGTTTTGTTTATATTTGAAATTGAAAAAAAAAATAAACAGTTAGAACATCAGTTAGTGTCATTGCAATACAAAACTTTTTCAACACATTCTATTCATGGTTACGTGCCGTGTTGTTTGAAGTCTATTTAAAATAAAAAAAATTTGTACGAGCAAAAAGTTTATTTTCCAAAGTAAAATCTATTTCTAAAAATGAGTGAAGAGATATTGTGTCCTTTGGAAGAATTTTGCCGAATAGACGATATATGCCGGCTAAATATTGTTGATCCATTTATCGCAGGTGGTACCAAAACATCGAAATCGATAAATACAAATCTATTTAAGCCATGTAGTGATGCACAATCACTGCAAGAGCACGTCACAAATGGAACAATCGAGAACATATTGATTGATCACTTCCCAATGACTAACAATATATCAAAACAGATTTTTGCTGCACAAGTATGTGAATTTATTGGATTTTTTTTCTGATCTTAAGTATTCGAATGACAACCGATACGATTGATTAGATCAATTGTGAGTGTTTTTTAGAAAAACAGTCACAATTAATATATTTAATGAATCGCATCGATATGTCATCCAATCCAACGTTCAATTTAATTTAAATTTTTCTTTTTATCTATTTTACCAAATAAGAAATGTTTTAATTCTATTTTATATTTATCGTTTGCCATTCAATTTATAAACAGATTAAAATGTATCGAGATTTCATGGTTGATCCGAAATTTCGTTTGTACGAAAAGGAATTCAAAGCACCTGAACCGCTTAAACAATTGAAAATTGTTGCAAATGTTGAAATGGAAATGAATCTTCAACTAAATACACTGTGTGCACGTTTTATGCCTGATCAAGATCCGAAGTCTGGTAAATATAAAAACCATTATTCGTATGTGCACGGAGAAAACGATGCCCTCGGATTAATGCTGGGACCAGCAAGTTTAATAAACCACGATTGTATTTCAAACACGGAATACATATTGACTTCTCCAAACATTACGAGCGTACAAGTTTTGGCTAAAAATATTGCATTTGGTGAAGAAATCACTGTCTATTATTCATCCGATTATTTTGGACATGAAAATGAAGGGTGTCAATGTGATTCATGTGACAAAGGAAATAGTGAGTTGTCGAAAACTATCAGATTAATTTTTATGATTGAAATATATTAATTGTGAGTTTAAAAATCAACCACAATTGATTTAATCATAGGTCATCACTTCGCTATTGAAATAAAAACATTTTTTTTTTTAAACAATACGCCTTTTTTTACAGCTGTGATGATGGTACGCTCGCCGGTCGGTAACGAAATCAAAAAATTTAAATGGTATTCGAAAAAGTTAACCACTTTGATTGATGCGATTGTCAATGAAATTGAATCTCTTAAATTTCAAATTGGTGAAGCAATTGACGATGCAAAAAAACTGGAAATCGATGAATACTATGGTGTTGTTGGAATATGCGACCTTACAACTTTACAAATTATTCACGTATTTCATATTTACCTTGATTTTCACACTGGAATAGAGCGCACAAAGTAACAACAATGTTAGAATATTTGAATCTACGAACACGAGGAAGACTATAATTAACTAAGACCGCGACTTTCTCAAATGCCATATAATAATTTGACAATCGTCTAATTGTCGCCAAAAATGAATTCCAAAGAAGTAATTTGTTTATAAATGACATCATTTTTATATACAAAATCATAAGATCATAAAACCGAAAACCGAACAACGATGTTAGAGAATGATTGTTTATTTGTTTTTGAACAAATTGTATGTACAACTCTGTACTGTAACAAGAGAGCATATGCGCTCCTTGTACTCTCTCTCTCTCCCCTTAGCCTTTCGATTGACACCACATTGCATACACACGCACGCACACACACAGTCCGTCACACAGCGAATCTGTGTAACTGTAACAAATTGAAAATTGAAGCGTTGAATATTTCGTAATGATATATGTGGTCTAAATTTGAAATATCTAAATACTGAACAACAGATTATCCCAGTGCCAATGTCAATGGCACGCGCATGTTAGTGCGACAACAACACGACAAGCTTTTCTCATAATTCTCTTACTCACTCTCTCTCTCTCTCTCCTCATCTCGCATACAATAGCATCGAATCGCATCGCATCGCATCGCATCGATTGTTAGAAATTGATTGTTGATCGACAAGTTGCCGATTATTTTTGGCGACAGCACGAACAATGGCTAAGTGTGTGTGTGCGTGTGCGTTAATACTCTTGCTTATAATTATGTGCACCGGCTGTAATGCTGCTCACTTTGTGTGTGTGTATAAGTATATGTTTTTCCCACAATTAATATAAATGTAAATGTTGGTAAGTGTCGGCGTCATTTTGAATGTCAACTGAATTTCCAAATAACTGCAGCGCGCAAACGATATATTACAACACGTTCATTGTAGTATACTGGTACATTACATCGAACAATAAAACCCAATTAAAATTGAAAAAAAACAAAACCGCTAAAAGTCAAACCGAAATTGTGAGTGGAGAGAGTGAAAATTGTTATTTTAAATCGTTTAAACACTAAAGAATCATAAAGAAAATCTTTACGAGAAATAAAACAGTAGCAATATTGCCAAACATCCACGAGAATTAATTTTTTCTGTTCTTTTTTTTTAGTGGATATAAACATAGTGGACCAAGCATTATTTTGTGACCAAGCAATTAAGATTTGATTTGTGTTTTTAACACAAATTAACCATGAAACGTTTTCCAGGCTGGATAAATATGTCATCCAAAGAAAAAAGGATGAGACAAACGACACAAATCCAAAAAAATCGCATTTTGCGTGGTAAGTGTGTATACCAAAAAAAAAGAATATTTTAGAAAATATAAAATTAAAATCGAATGTGTACATTTTTTTGTTTTCATGAATATACACACACACACACACACACATAGATCATAATACAGTTCCCGTTGAACGGGATTCAATTGTGATTTTATCTAGCGATGATGAAAAAGCCACCAATAAGGTTAGAAAACATATTTTATATTTAGGCGTATAACTGTAGATATTTGGTGCATAGAATCGAATATAGTAGACAAATGTCAATTTGATCCATTTAATTATTATAATAAAATGAATTAATTAAATTGGCATTTGTCTTCTATCCAAAATTAGTACATATACATAGATAGATATAAATGGCTCATATTTGAATTTCGGTATAATTTATAGGAAAATAGTTTGGTGCAGACTGTGCCCAAACAAAAAAGTCTATCACCATCAATACTAAATAACCGAAGCCAAACGCAAAGAAAAATGCATAGTGATATTGAAAAAACTGAAAAGGCAAAAGGCGATTCCGAAGAATTTGCCCATTGGAAATGCATTAAATGTAAAAGCGATGATAATTTTTTCTACGCAGACGAATGCTTAAGCTGTGGCGCTGAAAGATATTCCAATGTGGCTATCATCATATCGTCCGATGATGATGATTGTGAAACAAACGAGAAGGTAAAATAATTTTCTTAAAAAACAAAAAACAAAATTACGCTCCTCTTAAAAAAATTCTTTTTTTTATTAAAAAAAAACCACTACTTGTATCACTGTTCCACTGTTTTATATGGAAGAGAGAGAGAGAGAGAGAGAGAGAGAGAGAGAGAGAGAGAAAGAAAGAAAGACTGTTGTATTATTATTTTGATAGTGAATTTATTGACTTCGTACACGAGTCGATCCACTATCAAAATAATAATACAACTATCTTTCTCTCTTTCCCATTCGCATTTTTTTGTCAACAATGTTTGTAATGTTTCGGCCCATAATGGGGTCTTCAATTGAAATGTAGTCAATGTTCAATTTTTCAACCGAATGACAACAATTGTTGAAAAATTGATGATATGCCCAATTAGTCGATTTATCGTCTTTCGGATTCAAATGTTTTAAAAATTCATAGAAAAAAAAAATGTTTTTATTTTTTTAAATATATTTATTATAGGTGCAATTGTACTTGTACTGGGGTTATACTTGTTAGAGTCCATGAAAGAAGATAATTTCTTTCGAAAAGATGTATGGAATGATTACAAACGCAAATTACCTGCTGGCACAAAAGTGTACTGCATCATTTGTGGAAGAGAATTGGTAGCAGTTAGCCACCAAATCTCGAATCATTTCTCTCGTATGGGCGCCGCAAATGACCAAGCTCATGCTGAGGCAATCGAAGGAATTGACGACTTCAAAACGACGTGGAAACATGGACACAGTAAATGGTTAAATTTTGTGACAATAGAAAAGCCTGTGTCATCTAACGACCATTTGTATTATTATTTTGATAGTGAATTTATTGACTTCGTACACGAGTCGATCCACTAACAAAATAATAATACAACTATCTTTCTCTCTTTCCCATTCTCATTTTTTTGCCAACAATGTTTGTAATGTTTCGGCCCATAATGGGGTCTTCAATTGAAATGTATTTAATGTTCAATTTTTCAACCGAATAACAATAATGGTTGAAAAATTGATGATGTGCCCAATTAGTCGATTTATCGTCTTTCGGAATTTTCGGATTGATATTGAATTAACAAATATGTAGACCAAAAGATGGTTTCGTAATTGAACATAACAATATTCAAAAATGAAACAATTTTTATGCATATCGTTCAATTTAAATTCGTTGTATTTGCATTTAGTTGGAAGTCAAGAAGAATTATGATGAAACTAGTGCCACTGTCACTACCACTGCCACTGCCACTGCCACTGCCACTGCCACTGCCACTGCCACT